ATATATTATGAAATAAGGAATGTAACAGAATATTATTTTGTAGAATAGAATAGAATATTATTTCGTTCTATAATAGAGTAGAATATTTCATTATTTCATTCTATATTCATTATTTCATTCTATAATATTATATAATAGAATAGAATATTATAGAATAGAATAGAATATTATTTCATTATATATTAGAATATAACATAGAATATAATATATAATGAAATAAGGAATATAATAGAATGTAATAGAAATAAAGTAATTATTATAAATAAACACAGTAGAAATAAAGTTCACAATAAATGCCATGTGCTTGAATCATCTTGAAATCATCCTCCCCCACCACCTCCCTGGTCCATGGAAAAAATGTCTCCCATGAAACTTGTCCCTGGTGCCAAAAAGTTTGGGGACTGCTGTTCTAGGGCCACTGAATGATTCACAGTACAGGAGACACTGGTGAGGGGCTCCTTGGGGACCCCTACTTCCCTGCCCTGTAACATCCAGCCCCAGGTGCACATGTGTTCAACCTCATGCCTCTGACTTAGACACCATCAACATAAGCATTCCAGCCTTCTGGTTCGAAGCCAGGGTTCCATAAACAAATCCTTCTTAGTTAGCCTCGGGAGCTCAACACCTTTGGTATCTCACCCACTTAACTGGAACGCCTACTCTTGTTGGATCCGGTTATAAAGTAAACTATGTTCTTTGAGAGCTGTTGCATACAGATGAGTTGGTAGCCAGTCTGAGCTGGCCCACAGACTCATAAAATCAACAGGGCCTCAGGTACCCTCACCCAGCACATCCAAACTCTTGCATCAAAGGTGCAAGGACTTGCTCACATCGAGAATCTGTCTGCTTTCTTGGAGACCAAGAAAATGAGTTTTTGTTTCTACATTTACTCCAGCAATCCATGAGGTAAGAGGAGAAACACCTCATTGTCTCTTTGTAGGAAAAAGAAGTTAATTCTTGTGAAAATTTAGACTTCTTTTCCCCACCTCAAATCTAGGCAGACTTGTCTGTCCACTTCTGGGGGGATAGATAGAAGCACGGTTTTAACTCACTCACTGGATGCTTTTGATGTGCTGGTTACGTTTGGATTTATTAGCTGTGAGCTACATCTTGCCTTCCCTGGGCCACTCTGCAGCCCTGCGGCTGGAGGGCAGTAAGAATCTTTGGTTGCATCATGCCTGGATCCGAAGTCTTCTTTTGGCGGCAGAGATGTACGTAGGGTTTTCATCTCCGGTGGCATCCTTTCAATTGTAGCAAGACCTTGCCTAGTAACACAACCTCTGCCAGGCCTTTTCCATCTTTAAGGTAGAGGATCAAGGTGCTAGTGGGGTCTACTATGGAAAACATCTATCAGGAAAAGGCAAGAGTTAGCAAGACATTTTGATTACCTTCGCCCAAATGTCTTTCTTTCCTTTCCTGACGTAGGACTTCATAGGAATTTTGCACCATTCTGAATGAATACATTTGGATTTCTCAACATTTGTTCAGCTCCCTAATGACTGTTGTGACAATTGCTGTATACCAGTGAATGCCAACTGTTTATCTCTGCTCTGAACAGGTATGGAGCCCCTTCTCTCAATATCTGTATCTTACAGATTTGGTGCATAGACACTTAAAAGGAGTTGGTCTTTCTCAACCAGCAACCTTTAGGAAAAATGATTGGATTTTTCTCCTTTTAGCTGGGCTTACAAAATGGAGCAAAACATCATGATTGTGCAAAGGATCCGTTATGGACAGAAACTTGGCAGAGTCCCTCACTGGATGCTTTTGATCTGCTGGTTGTACCTATATTATTAGCTGCGAGCTGCACGCTGCCTTCCCTGGGCCTTTCCTTGGCCCTGGGGCTGGAGGGCAATTAGAATCTTTGGTTGAATCTTTGGTTACATTGGACGAGCTGCGCATTCTTTGTGGGCTCCCTTCAGTCGTGGGCTTGGCTTGTGTTGTCTTACTCTACATTGTTTAGTGTAAATGGATTCTCACTAAGTCAGCTTCAGCTTCTAAGAGCATGATGGGGTAGGGATATCTGGGAATGTATGGGCCATAAGAAAAGCTTTTTTTTTTTTTTTTTTAAATTTATATATATATACTCAAGTCATGAAGGTGGATTTCTTTTGTGTAAAGAGGTGCACCAAGTCATTGTAGGTCCAAGACTGCACTTGCAAAGAAGCAGAGTATGTGAATTCCTTGTGAGTGGGTCTTGATCTTTAATGCTGTTAGTGACTTTTGGTTTGCCTGATTTTTTTTTTTTTTTTAAATATAAGAAGCTTGTAATTGCCAAGCATGCTTTGCTGTGAAGAGCTAAGACTTGAAATTCCCCATGCACGTTCTTTTTCTTTCCTCAGTAATGTGTTTTTCTGTGCTAGGTTACAAGTCTACCCTGGACCTTGTCACAGCTCAGTGATTATCCAGGGATTCAGCTGCGACTCACATGCTTTGCCTTTTACTTGCCCCAGGGTTTCCATGCATTGAAGGCTTCCTGGTGCTCTCTCAGTGGAATTGCTTCTGGCCTGGCAGTTTGATCCTGAGGGTGACCCAAATGTTCCTCCCCTTGGCTCCACAATTTAAGATGCCAATGGTGACTATTGTCTTCTCTTCATTCTTGTCTTTCTCATGACTATTATTATTATACATACAGGTTTTGTTCTTCATTTGCCTTTCAACAAGCTTGTAATGAGAACTCATTGTGTTTGGGGTGCTGGGTCCTGGGAAACCACTGAATGGCTTGGGAAACACTGCTCTGGAGGGCAGGCACTTGGGCTAGGGGATATATGCATGGAAACAAACTGTCACACACTAGTGGGAGAGATACCATGACCAGTGGGGACTGCGACACAAAAACGTAGCTCATGGTATTATCACTGCCTGCACAGGAAAGTACATCATACTTTTCCTACAGAAGACCTCATGGAAGCATGATCCTAAATGCCCTGGGTGAGCAGGAAGGGGCCTACTGGAGGCAGGGAGAAGAACATTCTAGAACAAGGAAATGGCATTTACAAAAATATGCAAGCATGAGACAGAGCATGGCTTACACAGGGAATACCAGGCTGGTGTGGCTGAGGGTGGGTGACCAGGGGAGGGGTGAGGGAAGCTGCAGGGTGCCATGATGAAGGACCTAGTACGTGATGCTGAGGAACTTGGGCAGTGTCTAGAAGGTGGTGAGAACCAGGGTAAGATCTTGTTTACGATGTGGAAGGGCTGCTTTGCCTGCAAAGTGCAAGGTGGACTGGAGTAGGGTAAGACCACGGCCGGGTAATCAGGGAGGAGATTACCAAGAGGCAGAAGGCACAAGGTCTGGTGGCCGATCGGCTGCAGAGAGTGATGGGAACAGGCGAGGATGAAGTGGAGCTCTGAAACAGGAGCCAGAGACTCCCAAAGGCCACAAAAAGAGCACACTTTGAATGGCACAGAGCCTTTTCCTTCCATTCACCCTCCCACATTCAAGACTGTGATGACCTAGGCTCAAGCCAAAAGAATACAGAAAAGGGCCCGGGCCTTCTCAATCTGCTCTGTCTCCTGAAATATATATGGTTGAGGAATAGTATTAGTACTGCTGTGAAATAGCAAAAAGTGGTTGGCTTGATTATGTGGTTCAGAAATCATCATGAACAAGCAGGGTATGCAGAAATTGGAAAAAGAAAACAGAGCAAAAACAAACATCTACAAAAAAAATGCTGAAGAAAAAAATTAGTATAGAGACATATAAAAGATAGACCCCTAGAAAAGTCAGCAATAGGCCTGGTGCAGTGCTTACACCTGTAATCCCAGCACTTTGGGTGGCTGAGGCTCATCTGAGGTCAAGAGTTCAAGACCAGCCTGGCCAACATGGAAAAACCTCATTTCTACTAAAAATATGAAAATTAGCCAGGCCTGGTGGTGCACACCTGTAGTCCCAGCTACTTAGGAGGCTGAGGCATGAGAATCGCTTGGACCCGGGAGGTGGAGGTGGCAGTGAACCGAGATCGTGCCACTGTACTCCAGCCTGGGTGATAGAGTGAGACTTTAAAAAAAAAAAAAAAAAAAAAAAGAAAGAAAAGAAAAGTAACAATTTTGCCCTGTTTCAGGCAGGATGATTTTAAGCCATCCTTTTAGAAGATTGTGAAGGATGTGCAAAGTGTCAGCCTTTCTTGCCACTGCCTTGTCAGAATCTGTGAGCAAACAGAAAAAAGAACGATGCCCTTACACATGAAACTCCCGGATTCTTTTTAGAAAAATAACAGAAAGAAACCAAAAATAGTGCAGAGAACAGGTCGCTTCAAAACTATTGAGGATCCAAAGATGTTCTGCCCTAAGGAATTGCTTCTCAAAAACTGTTATTAAGGTCCTTATCTGTCAAATATAAAACCCAACCCAAAAGCATCCCATCAGAAACCAGAGCATTGAAACACTAATTTTGAACAATCATTGTAAAGCCTCATCAAATCCAGCTCACTCATTGCAGGAATACACAACTCAAAGGCCCTAGGAAAAATGTAAATCTGAATTTTCCCAGCACTGTTTTGGATAAATAATTTCTTCTCTCAGAAGAAGCCTGTTGTTATTTTTCAAAATGGGTTTCCCAGTATGCAACAGAGTCCATCTCTGCATGCATGTATCTGCCCTGTGCTGTGTTCTGCCGTTACCATGCTTTGTAAACTTTGCATTCTGGTTAGATGCATGTGACCCACCCATGCTTCTAAGAGAAGATTCTTTTTGAATGCTCCGTGAAGTACAAGCCAGAATTTTCCATTTATTTAGAATTTCCAATGTTCCTGTCCCTCCCTCTCCTCCACTTGCACACACACCAATGTTTCTTGGCTGGGATTCAGGAATTGTATTTATTGGGGTCTCCCAGTGTGTCACCATATCCCCAGGGAGCAGACTTAAATGTGCGACCCAACACAGTTGAAAGCAACAGGTTAATACTGTCTTTGCAGAGTTAAAACAGCCCAAGCTCTCTCAGGCGACTGCCTCTAGGGGAAGTCTCATGGTTCGTTGCCCTTGATTACATTCTCAGGAGCTTTCTGGTTTTAACCAGATCTACCATTTGTCCTTGAGGAGCTCAGGAGAACTCAGCAACTGTGAATAACTGTTGCGGGTCTTTTCACAAGAGAAGACTCCGTGAAATGTGCGGCCCCTTGGAGTCCGAAAGCAGCGATGAGATGTTCAGAGAGATAAGGGTAATCCTGGTCTCATGCTGGAAGGTGCATGTGACCGTTTTGGGGATCAGGGTATTTGGATGCTGTTAAGGGAAGTGTTGGACGGCTGATGAATTATGCACAGAGTATGGGGAGCTTGAATCGGGTTCAGAGATAAGCCATAGGCATGGGCTAAGGTCACTTTAGAAGACCTCTGGGAAGCCCCTGCTGTGCTGGACTTAGTGAAGTGTGATGACACAGTCCCTGTGCTGCAGAAGCTCCGGTCCCCGTGAGAGGATGAGTAGGGATGACAGGTACAAGAGTGGCTTCGTGACACATCAGCGAACTGGCAGAGCATGAGCACGTTTTAACCTACCGACCAGGCTCCCCAACCCAGTCTGCTTCAAGGGCAGCCCTGGGGGATGGGGGGAGTGGTAGGAGAGAGGGCTGCTTCCTCTCCCAATACTCCATCCCCTCAGAGGAAGTGGAGAAGGGGAGTCAGGAGACCCCCAGAGCGTGCCCCAGGACCAGATCTGAGAGTCTTTTCCAGCATGGGGCCCTTCACTCCTAGTCCTGCCTGAATCCATTGTGCACGGGAATTCACGCCCAGGCTGGGCAGTACTGACCACTGAAGAGACGGGATGACGTCTGCTGGGGACAGAGGCTGCCAGGGAGTGGAGAAAACCCCGTGCCGCACTCGGATTTTCTTCACCTTCTTACTGACACACCTGCTCCTTTGGCTGGGCGTTTCCCAGCCTGTGGTGTTTACAGATTTGGATTTCTACAAAGATGCCCCTTAAGTATCTTGTAGCAGTGGGGAAAGGGGTGGGGAGAGAGCGGGAGGATGGCACTGCAGCAAGGTGAGTGGCGCGACCCAGGCGCCCAGCGCGCAGCAGGCAAATCCCTTCCCACGCGACTGACCACATCCACTGAGACCCGAAGCTGGGAATAGGCAGCCACCGGAGAAGCACAGGCGAGAGCTGGGGGTTGAAACTGCTTTCTCATCTATGAAGAGGCTGGTTTTCTCCTCCTCACTGAAGGCCAGAGGAAACGAGACTTCAACCTCACCCGTTAGGATGTGGGTTGGAGATCAGGAAGAAGCTTGGGCTTTAGGGGTGTGCAGAGGCAGGAATCCATGTCAGCGGGAAATGGACACAAACTTCTACAGACACAGAGCCCGCATCTCTCTTTCTGGGAGGGGTTCTGGTGGCCGCTTACTGACAGGCAGGGCATGGGGCTGGCGTTTTTGGAAATCTTATCACAAGGCCCTCATTCCTGGGCTTGCACCAGGGAGGCGAGCCCCAGTTCTCCTGCTCTCCAGCGGCTCCCAGAGTAAGGGTATGTTTCTGATGACGGTCGCCTCTGGCTATCACTCTGATTCTGCCTTTCTTCAGGTTGCCTGGGTCTATCCCATCAATGAGCCTGTGATTACTGGGTACAA